CCCGAACGAGCGAGGTATGAGCGAGTGAGGGCTTCTGACACAAGCAATGAGTGAATAAACCCGTAAATGGCGTACAAAGCACCTTCTATGTCGTGAGCTGTTTACTGCACATAACACGACAATTTTCATTGAAATAATTTTCTGAACGCAAATTAGAAAAAAAAAAACTCACTAACAATGCAAATTTAATGGCAATGGAAAATATCGCAGTACATGTACATCAAGGGAATAACTGCTGAACGGAAAACTGCACTTACAAGAGTTTTTTTTAATCTAAGTACGATATCAATAAATAGGATAAAGTCTCATTTAGTCACTGTCTGATTCAAAAACAAATGACGAGCTTTTTGGACCTTGGAGAATGCAAGGACAAACTGGGACTTTCGTTCAAGGCATTTACAAAAATGTTAAAAGTTCCTCCCTGAATTGAAACGCCTTGGAAAAGAGTCAAGGGCTGCTGTGTTGTCGACTCCTGTACTGTTTTCATTGCATTCAGACTCAAAGCACTGGAAATACCTACTCGGTATCCCGATAGCCTTGGCACTCCGGGATATCCAGTCAGAATGTTGGATATGTCTTTTTGTTGTCGCTTCGACAGAGTGCTGTAGTTGTTCAGACTTTGTACGTTCTTGTGCCCGATATTTGCATGATGTGCGTTGGTGGTACTCCTTCAGCATTCAGTTTCTGGATCATTCTTTTCCTTCCGCCATGATTGGTTAGATTTTTAGCATCTAATCCAGCTTTTTCTGCCGTTGTTTTCATCAGTGACTTGAGTTTGTTAACTCCCACGGGAGCTAACTTGAACCCAGGTTTTGTATTTACAGCTTTTGTAGTGTGATTGCTTGCTAAATAAATAGGACTATCCGGAGTCTTCAGTTCATCTGGTCTTTTGGAAGTATAGAGGTCATAAGCCCGGACGCAAATATTTTTGGCTTTACAAGGCGAGAGTCTTTTGGATCCGCGCCTGTTCGTGTCTTCGTCTGTGTTTCATTACACTCTAGAAATGTTGTTCCGTCCGCTGTTTCTTTTCTTTCAACATCGCCCCATCTCATGTCCCTGTGCTTTTGACAACCTCGCAATCCAAAGAACTGTGTTTTTTTTTAACCATATAGTGTTAATAAGAACCTCTAATGAAGAGCAACCGAGTAAATCTTGGCCATACAGAATATTAAAACTTCTTCGTCTGTTAGCTACGCGCAGCGTTTGGTTTATTTCCTTTCCTTTCTTTCTTTAATTCCTTTTGCTTTGCGACTAACGTTTCTTTAGTCTTTCGGAACTCCTTTCCATACATAAGGGTTGAGCAATAGTCTTTCTTTCTTAAATAACGATCAAAGCTTGAAACAAAAGACCTGAGCGATGTAGGTTCGTATTGTTCACCGTCTTTCTTTCGAACTTGAATTAGAAAATTGGCGATAACACGTCGAGATCTTTTGCATCAATATTTNTCAGATCACGTAAATCACATCTTCGATTGCCGTGTTGCCTGCATGGTTGTCCTGATAGTGTAGTGGTGATCACACCTGACTAGTAACAGGGGGACGTGGGTTCAAATCCCGCTCAGTGCAAATTTTCTTTTCAAACATTTATTCTATTTAAGTATGATTATTTGGGGTGTACAGGGTCAGGGTTTCCCTCGTATACAGAATTTGTTTAATTGAAATTAGCCTGTATCTGTAATTGGATCCTCCTTTGTCATCCGCTAAGTTGACTTCGGTCGTCTATCTTTAATAGATCCTTAGCTGGGTTTCATATGGGGTTATAGGCTTGCCCTACCCTGCCACCTTGAAAATTAAGTTTCCCGGGAGACCACGTCTGAGATCACGTAAATCACATCTTCAATTGCCGTGTTGCCAGCATGGTTGTCCTGATAGTGTAGTGATCATCACACCTGTCTAGTAACAGGGGACGTTCAAATCCCGCTCAGGGCAAATTTTCTTTTCAAACATTTATTCTATTTATATATATATGTATATATAGATATTTATCTGTATATAACTATGTTTTTCTACTCAATAAAGTTACATATGGACTTTGATACAGGTCTGTTTCGTAGACCGACAAGAAGTTGGTCCACTCATCAACTAAATTCCATATACACTGTAGCATCGCTTGAGTTTATATACATCGGCAGTATGATCGTTACAAAATTTAAACTATCATGATTGGTTCTTAAGGATGCGATTGAATCTGAGGAGGAAACTTCGCTTATGCCAGCAAGTTGATACGAGTTCATTACGTTTGTTGAGCGTTGCCATTTCTGGTTTATATAGAATAAAGAATTTTTCGGTAGTACATAGGTTACATCGTTTAGTAAGATTGCTATAAGATTTGGCCTTGTAG